GGGGGTAATGGGGGCCTCTGAGAAAGCCTTATCTTAGAATTAATGTCTCCCTTGATGGGACAGACATCACGCCTGTTTGGTCTCAGGGTTCAAAGATCGAACGCTAACCGTCGCCCCTCTATTGGCGTTTTCATAACAACTAACGTAAACGGGGAGGGGCCGGTCGGACCCCAGCCTCTCGGCCTCTGAAATCTGAACTGGAGCTTTGCGGTAGAAAAATGAACGTGCTACCCGTGACGATAGGAAGACGCTGCTACCCAATTTTAACCTTCGCACTTATAGGGGACCCCCCTTTTCTCGGGTTTTCGCGAATAACTCGCGCAAAAAGCGGCCGATCGCGATGACATTTTCAGTACAGGTTTATCAATTTTATACATTGTAGCTAGAATTTCGCAACCATTTGAACATATACCAAGTAATTTTGGTGCCTTCGTAACATGCTACGAAGCTGTCAGTGGTTGTTGATGCCTACGATAAATACCCGACAGGACGCCTATTGGTTGACCTGACCTGACCCGACCTGGCCTAAATGCACGAAGACATCTGTGATCAAAACTTAGATAAAATTCGTGATCAGTACCCCGACAAACTCCACAACATCCTCACTTTACGAAGTTCTGACAGGTCTCGATTTTCCGACTTTTTGGGTCATTGAGCCGACCTGGAAGGTCAATCAATGACCTAGGACCTTAAAATCGCGTATCATCAGAGCTTCCTCTCGTCACGGGCATCACGCTCGTTTTTTCCGCGAAGCTCATGCTTGATCAGGGGCCGAACGACAAATAGGGGTCCAACGAATTTCTCCCCCCATAAATTAGCGGCTGGCAAAACGCCAATACGGGTGACGGTTAACTTCCTCGGCCATTGGGTGACTTTAGACTTAAGACTTTCAAAGGGTCAATGACAATTGTGTAGTAGATCAGAACCCGCTGTATACCTTCTAGAATTGAAATTTTATGACCTTCCGTGATCTCAAGAAACAACTGCCTAAGAAGTCAACAGTTATTTATGTCAACGTATTACATGTTTTATGGCAGATAAAAAAATGATCGGCTCGAGGGTAAAATTGTGTCGTGATCCGACGACATAATAATACCCGAAATACCCAAAGAGTCACGGAAAGGTATGACATTTCAGTGAGCTCGGTTGTGTATGCAGTGGTGTCTGGTAGGGTGGGGGTAATGGCCCTGCCTGGCGCCCGAAAAGGGGGCACGACCCCGGAGGGCCTGCCGACCACTGAACTAGAGCATCTGTTCCCGAGTGTGTGATCCAAAAATGAGCCTGATCTGACTTTTAAGACGGCGGCCAGAGCCCAAAACGTGAACAAGCCAAAATGCTAATAATTTTTACTTTGACCTGACCTGTGACGTCATCGGTGACCTCGAAGTCAATGAAATTAGGTTTCGCTCGACAGTTTTTCCGGGGCTACGCTGACGCCGTTTGAATTTTGACGATCGGCCCAGTAGTTTCGGAGTTAGGAGGGGGGCTATGAATAGCCCCCCCCCCCCCAGTAGGGCGTGTTATACGCAGACCCCAGTGGGGCGCGGGCTAATAACTCTGGACGTTTGCACCAAACTGCCCCAGGTATGGGCACATTCGTGCATGGGGTGGGGCACTTCCGTGCACCCAGTGCAAAATTAGAGGAATTACCGGGCATTGCCAGAAATCTACCAAAAGGGCAGTGGGTCGTTTTACTTGATTCCTTTCCACAAGAATGCATTGCACAACATATGTAGAAAGAATGGGCTGGCCAACAAGAATGTGCCAACCGCCGGCCATCGACCCGCCTCGTGACCTCTCTCCTGGTCACGTGAATTACTTGCCACGACGTCGCATGCAGCCGAGACTGAGTCAGGCGAGCCTACAGATAAAGTCATAAATCGCAAAAACGAAAAAAAAATATGCAGGAATGTGCCCCTAGGCAGTGCGTGCACGAACCTGCCCCACAACGTTATTTGTGATATAATTCAAAATTTCTTATTGAAAAATGACAGTTTTTTTAACAAACAAGTTTGCAGCAGTTCCGTGAATAGAGTCAGCTTCTTCGGACCCAATTTTGAAAAGTTAAACCACATTTGCGAGTCAGGATCACGAAAATGGATGATATGAGAAAAGTTTGGAAAGCCCACGAATATGACAAATTTGCGTTTTTATCAGGCATGACAGCAGGGACAGTGTTGTCATCTACAGTTAACGAAGGCGGCAATGATAGACATATTTTCATAATTTACCTTTAGCTCGTGCAGTCACTCGTGTTCCCATAAACTGCTGAAAACGAATGTGCCCCAATGCACGAATGTGCCCCACTCTCTCCTGCATAGGTAGTCGCTGTCGAGCTGCCACCGCCACCGCCTAATAACGCCGCTGGTGGTCCATCCTGGCCGTCTGCTCGCCGATCCAGTGTTGTAGTCCACCCACAGAGATTGCCAGATCAATTCGCACATCGTTCGAAGCCACTATAACATCCACGCAAATCGCGCTTTTTGCGTCCACGTTCAGTGTGTGCGGTTTTTTGTTCCGTGTTGACATGCGTCTGACGAGGGCGGCGGGGTCTGAGCAAACACGTCACTCGTCGCCGGTCGCGCCGCAAACCAAACCGCGCCGCCGTGCGCTGTGTGCTCACTGTGCGGTACACACACACATACACACAGTCGGCGAGTCACGTCTCTGCCGCGCCCCACGCACTGGGAACGTCCTGTTTGTGACCCGCTACCGCATCCGGCCGTGAACTCACGGTGAACTCACGGACTCGCTCTATCAATGACTTACTAAATAGTAAATACTTTAGTACCCAATTGAATAAACCACTCACTTATCTACACTCTAACTTACTGACTCACTCACCATCTCACTAACTCACTCGTTAACCAACTTTCATTCACGTCTTTTCAGACAGATTTTCTACGAAGCAGGCATTTGCAGTGATAAAACAAAATCGTGTGCAAAGTGGTTCAGACGCTTTACCTTCATCATTTCTTAACCCGCGCCCCGCTGGGGGGGGGGCAGAATCTGCCCCCCCCCCTCCCGTTTTTCGCCAATAACTTCTAAACGCGTTACGCCAGCGACGTCAAACTTTCCGTACCTTATCATACATCAATTTGACACGTTCCCTGAAAATTTGAGCGAAATCCGTCGGAAATTTTTTGAGAAATTGACGTTTTAGTGACGTCATGTTCGCCATTTTCGCCTCAAAAACGGCAAAATTTCAAACGCCGCTAACATCTTCATTTTTAAAGGAATCAAGACGTAACAAAAAAGGTTATACGTGATTCTACTTTGTCTATCAAATGGCTATCTCGGTTTTTTGAAAATTTTGGATTTTGGCCAAAATTTTTCCAAAAAACTGACTTTTTTGGGAAAATATTTATAAAATCCAAAATTTTGAGTTTATCGAAAAAACCGGAATATATGTCAAAGAAGTGGTCTACGTGCACCTACATACCAATTTTTAGAAGAATCGGTTCAAAAATGTGGGAGTTATTCAAAATTTTATGACGTCACGACACACAAAAATTTTGAAAAATGATTTTTTTGGAAGTTCTAGACCTCGTACGGAAACAAAAATAGCACCATTCGATTCGCCGTGAAAAACTGCATCGGATAGACGCCTTTTTAGACCTTAACAACCAACTTCAAAATTTGACCTCACTTGACCTGACCTTGACCTGACCTCGACCTGAAATTCATCCAGAGGTGATCCATATCACTTATTGAGTGTGCCTATTGAATTCCATGAGTAAAATGACCCATAAAACATGTGTCGCACATGCCCTTTTCTATATTTTGTTTTTGGTGACCTGACCTGACCTGACCTGACCTTGACCTTGACCTTTGAATGACATTGTGTGCAACGAATATTGTCTTGGTAGTCTAAGAACACGTTTTGGGCAATCAGTCTCAGTCCATTCTTCGGCAACTACGGTGCAAGGCCGATACTGTAGAAACTTGCATTTTGTACCCTTGACCTGACCTTGACCTGACCTCTGACCTACTTAAGCAAAAAAATTTGGGCTCTTAAGATCCGCCTTGTTGAGAGCTTTCGATTGCCGTTTTCCCCGTCTTTCTACGACCATCGGTTCGGAAGTTAGACAGGGGGGGCAGAATCTGCCCCCCCCCCAGCAGGGCGCGTATGGCTGAATAGCCCAGCGGGGCGCGGGTTAAAATTGCAAGTTGCAACCCCATAATAAATGCCGCGAATAAGTGAATAGGGAAATACGGCACTTCAAAAGATTTATCCCGGTTTGAAATGCGATGCTGAGTCCTTTTCTTTGGTCCATCTATGGTTATTTTTCACTATTAGTTCCGACCCGTCGACCCAAATGTCCCGTGCCCCGTGCCATTTGAACAGTGGACCGGAGTGCCTGTGCCAGTGCTAATCTTAGACAGGTCTTGTGTTCTTTTTTCGAAGTGTCTGTTTTTTTTTTTGGCTCCGTTAGTGTTCGCCTTCCCCCTAGGCCTTATGAGTCTATGCATAATGCAAAATTTATTAAATCTAAAATGTATTTAATTGAGCATATACTTCTCGAACAAAGTACGGGAGATATGTTGTTTTAAAGTCATTTTTTCCCAGGAAATTAGTTATGTATAGTCACTTTTCGGATTATTCTCTGGGATAATAATATCTAACTCACAAGTCCATATATTTCGGATGATATTGCTCACCCTTGGTCACTGGACAAAATAAAAACAATTACATACATGTATGTAATACATGTATGTAATACAATTATGTAATACATACATGTATGTAATACAATTACATGCATGTAATTATTTTTATTTTGTCCAGTGACCAAGGGTGAGCAATATCATCCGAAATATATGGACTTGTGAGTTAGGTATTATTATCCCAGAGAATAATCCGAAAAGTGACTATACATAAAGTACGGGAGACATTTTTCCGAAGCATGAGTTCTCTCATCCCCGCCGAAGAAAAACGGTTACCTCCATGCACGAGTCTCACAATAATAGCATGGCTGTGGCCTGTCGTACTTGCTGTCCTGAATCTCAACATCTTTATTTGTTGTCGATTGGATAGACAGCGGCATTACCAAATAACATAAGTGGCAGTGTTAATGAAGTTTTCGCTGGGCACCAACACAAAAACGGAAGCAATATAGCACAGACAAACACACAGACTGAAACATACCTACACACATCCACATGAGACCATGCGAACACTCCTTCACAAGTCCACTATATAATACCATATGTCTACGGTCCACGGAACTCGAATATAAAGCCTCAAAAGCAGCTCATTCTAGTTTTCTGTACGTATTGTCATTCATTTACATACATAACGATTCGAAGAAAGGAACAGCAGTGCGAGATACGTAGCGCGTAGATAAAAGACACGACCAAACTACTAGCAAACTGACACTGAATCGGTAATGATTAGCGTCCCTGGCGTTACGACCATTTAAAACATCCGTGGTATTCATAGAAAAAGCTATATTCATAGCTTTGGCAACCAAGTACGGTATCAATACAAGACAACTATTGAAACCTATCATTCACACCGGAAGAATCTACAGTCAAATTCCACTGGCCCCATCCCGAAAAAAATCGCAATGGGCAGCATTGTCGAAAACTGGCATTCCATTGAGCCAACTTTGCATGATCGTTGAAACTATACTGTGAACAGCCCGCAAAGTTGACAGTTACCCCCTGCAGTTTCTACATCACTGAAGTCAATAGTCCCTAACGCACGCTTCTCTTGTGTCACCTGATGGAGGCTCCATACACTTCATGGTTTTGAGGTTCCACCGCTGACAGACACCGCAGCAAAGACACTTTGGTGGACAGTGTCCACCAAAGTCCACCACTGGACACACACTAGACAGATCAGTTACACGCCTGTCCACCCGGTGTCCACCTGCCCAGCTATCCAGCTGTCTGACTGTCTACTGTCTAGCTGTCAGTTATCCAGCAGGACAGCCGTCAGTTTTCCTGCCTGCCGACCGCGACCCCGACACTAGGGAGGTCCTCCTATCATCTCTGACCGTTGACAGCCGGCAACAGGTGACCCCGCCAGCGAGGCTCAGCGGTGACAGCAGAATGGTGCACCTTTATGACACGGCCCTGCGCCGACTGGCAAGACTTCCCGCCCGTGTGCGTGAGGCGAGTGGAGGCGGCAACCGGATGGACTGCCCGCGGACAACTGTCTCAGAACTGCAGGCCTGTTGACTGGTGAAGCGGGGAGAACTCACGGACTCATAGTTTGATGGCAGCTGCACCGTAGGCAAGATTGGAGAACCTTTGGACTGGTTCAGAGATGGCGAAGCTGGGCGTCTTTATCGATGGAATGTCTCAGCTGTCTTGTTCTGTGAGCGAGCGCGAGTGTAAAATCACACGGATGTCCAGTCCACTGAGCGATATTCTGGGCGATGCTTGGCCAACCGGTATGCTGCCGTCCAGTCGAATACCCGCACATCCAGAGACTAAACCAGTCACCAGCGTCTCTTCGTCTGACTAAACTCTGTCTCCTGCCACAGCCCTGACTTTGGGACTGACTCTGACTCTGACTACACTCGGGCCCAACTCGGGCTGACCAGTTCGTGACACAGTTGCGGGTCATCCTCCCGCCACGAGTAATGACTCCTACCGAGCAGCTACCGCAGCTACCACCAGCGGTAGCAGTAGACCGCTACTGACAGACACTGATGAGGCCGCGCTGTCGCCACCTCCGCCGAGGCCGGCACCTACACCGCCCAGTTTGACCTCAGCCGTGGAGTCTGCGGACTGGGGCGGCGGAGGCGCGCCGGTCGTCAGGGAGGAGCGGGCCGGCTGTGGAGGGGAGGAGAGCACCTCTGGTGTCTTCTGCAGCTGCGGAGCTGGCCGGGGCACCTCCTCGGTCACCGGTTCCTCGGCCAGCGGACGGTCGCAGGGCAGTTCCGAGAGCTGGGGAGGGAGGCGCAGAGGGCAGGTTAGTCATAAATCTAACAGAGGGAGCTCAGGTACGTACGTACCAACTCAGGGATTCACGATAGTGAGCAATGCATTATAGCACAGCAAGGGCATGGAACGGAGATTCGAAAGCACAAACTTTGTTAAAAATTCCAATGCTATCAGAAACCCTTCTCCAAATATTGCAACTGCCGGAGCCCAAAGGATTCATTAAGATTTCTGCTTTGAGACCTAGCTCGCCCCGTGAAAACAGAGTTTCTTCCCTCCTCCTCCATTGCAGTCCTCACCTTGAGGTCCACCAGTTTGACGGGCAGCAGGGCGGCCGGTTCCTCCCCGTCCAGTTCCGGAACGGTGGCCAGTCCGGAACCGGAGCCCGGACCGCCGAGACGCTCCGGAACCGCCGCCCGCGGCATGTGGCACATGGTCGACTCGAGGGAGGCCCGCACGTGCGCCGAGGCAGTCCGGGAGCGCAGGCGAATCAGCCAGGCCAGCCGGCAGTCACACTGCAGAGTGTTCTCTGTGGAGGGGGACACAGGTCAGGTCAGGTCAGGTCAAACACAGTGACGGACAGACAGTAGGGGCAGTCAGACAGGAGTCACTAGCAGTCAGCACACCAAGCCGCGGGGATGGAGTCGCAGTCGGTAAATTTGTTCGTTTCGTCTCACCCACAGCCATAAGTAATAAAGCAAAAGTCTGATTTAGAAGGAATCACGGTCCATGTCGATGACCTCTTTTGGTTCTGTGTTGGGATCAACGATTGTCTAGCATTTACGCGTAATATTGCATAGGACAACTGCATTTCTTCCCATTCTGATGCCACTTCATCCACGCGTAATGCACAGTGGCCTCCGGGGTCGCCTCATCGTCTTCTCATTCCACCTCTGACTGGCGGATCTCGGGTAATGAGGCGACATTCCCGCGTTATCTGTGGCCCGACTGCGGGTACACAGTACACACCGTCTACCGTTGTTTGCCGAGAACGCGGCACACCTTACTGTAGCTCCACGTGCGGCCGGCGCCGGCCTGAATAAAGACCCTGCTGTGAAACAGCGCCGCGCCACTCCAGATAGACAATAGATGGGACAAACAGATACTGCATCTATTCAGGACACACGCGTGGCGCCGCTGGTGAGTTCGCTCGGAAGAGAGCGTCCGTGTGCTGGACAAATGACGCAGCATTTGAGTGATAAAGAAGTGGTTGATTTGGTGCGGAACGGGCGTCACTTCAGTATGCATAAAACACCACCGCATTGCAGTTATTTTCTATTGAATAATCTCAACTGCAGGATAAAATGTAAGATCTAATAATAGCATGTTGCGTTTGGTGAACATTTACTTGCCTTTGTAATATACCAATGCGTCACCTGACACCATCGGTAAGATATGCTTCTGCTGACTGCACTGCCTTCTACATCTGGATATATAACCAGCCAGATACCGCCAGAAGTCTCTCATCCTCTGCGCAGTAACACGCAAGAGACCATTGGAGACGCCGCCGTCCGCCTGCCATTAACGCAGTCAGGCACGGCCATTAACAGGTAATTATCGGGCCGCACTGGAATTAATCGTGCATGCTGGCGTGCCAGACCACCTAGCGATGACGGCTTCATGGCAGTGACGCAGCCGATGACGCTCGCACAGATCAAAGGAGCCGAGGGGCACTGATTGACCACTCGCGTGTCACTGGGTCAGCCAGAGGTGGTCGGCGGACCTGTGATCTGCCATGTTGGCTGATTAACGATCGAAGATAGGCTAAGAGCACCACTGACAGGAGACCGCGACTGTCTAACTAGCCAGTCGGCTGCATGCAGCGGTGTGAAAAGACCGACTGATCTATGGGATATCGTTCGTTGTGGGAAGGAGAGGGAATCATGGTCAGGGATGGGTCATGAGTCTAAATGACTCTGACCACGTAGAGAGAGAGAGAGAGAGAGAGAGAGAGAGAGAGAGAGAGAGAGAGAGAGAGAGAGAGAGAGAGAGAGAGAGAGAGAGAGAGAGAGAGAGAGAGAGAGAGAGAGAGAGAGAGAGAGAGAGAGACGTGAATAATTCCATCTGCCGATACGGTTACGGCTCAGACAGCTTATGGAGTTGCGTTTGTGCTTCGCATTCCTTTGCTACTTGGCTAGTGCTGAGTAGAGCTGCTCTCTATCAGACAACTAATGTCACTCCAAAGGCATTCAAATTATACGAGCGACATCGGTATGGACGCATACCGATGACACACACAACTCAGCCCTCGCAGCAGCCGGCTCGGATCAGCCCAGCCCACACAGGGCCGAGTTCTCTGCCAAGGCCAGCCGAGCTGACCGATTAGGGACGGGCCAGGACCACCTGTTGTGACCCCATTGGACAGGGTTGCCGCCAAGTGCTGCACAGGTGGAGTCTCACCGCAGCTTCCACTTAGGCGGTGGAGGCGTAGCAACAGACAAGCCACCGTTTATAGCACACTATGGCAAGTACAATGGCGGGTTGTGTGCCTTTTGCCAAAATGATTTAGGGATTTTGACCCAATTGAATAGCTTTATCCGTTACAGCGTGATAGCTACCTATCTTTGCACTTTCATGTTATCAAATGTGTTAAGTAGCTCAATGATAGTTTCCTTGCTTTCCACATGTAATGTGAGGTTCTTTTATGTATATTGAATACCCTGACCTCCAGCCCCCTACTCATGGTGGTTTTACATTTCGCTCCTTGTTCCGCAATGGCTAGCGATTGGCACGTCCCTTTCCCCCTGAACGATACAGGCTACCCCAAAGGGCACGTTCCAGTGTTCTGGCCGTGACCACCAGCCGGTTATAACCCCGAGCAGACGGAGACGGGGAAGGGCGCTACCTCTCACCCCGTCGGGAGCACCTGGCCCCGCTCCAATCGGCGGTGATTCGTCCTGACTCCTCTGAATGACTCACTAGTCACTACACACCAGAGACACGCCCAGGCTGCAAATCACCGCGGCACGTCACATCACGGCGCACCCCGGGCTTCCAATCACAAATTAGCATCACGCCACGGTAAAAATCCTACCAGTGTTTGACTGTAAATCATGTCACGTCAAGCGAACGTCATGCAGAGCTTTATCTGATGCTTCATTTCCGTTACGAGCTATGATGTCACGCCATGGGTGGAGGTTTCCTTTTTCTTCGTTTTTTACGTCATGGTGGGGATACTGCAGCTGTGTTGCATTTGATACAGTGGAAGGATACCTACTGTCATTGTCTGTAACTACTAAAATATCACACAATGCAATACTTTATCCCCAACATTGTCCACTTAGCCACAATAGCCCATGTGGTGTTAGTTGGGATTGGATTGGAAAAGGATGTGTAAAGGCGCCAGGATGCTATTGCAAAATGCCCAACAATAGAATTTATGCAGATAAGAATAATGGGTGCTGAGAGTATGAACGACAGTCATGCATTGGACTACGACTTTTTTCAAATAACTCAACTTTCTAGCTGATATTCCAACTTTGAACAGATTCAGAATATCTGCTAGTCTCCTATGAGTGAGCACGCTAACCCGTTTCCAACAGTATAAGTCCCGTGTTCGTGCCACACATCCCGTTTGATGCAACTGAAGCGTTCGTCTCGGCTCGTCTGGCGCCGCCGTCATCGCCCTAATGGCCGTCAGCTGCCACTGGGGCAGCTTCCGTGGCGCGTCACAAATTATTTACAGACGCGCGGCGCGGCCGTCCGCGTCTTCGCGGTTCCTACTCACTCAGATATGCTGCAGGCTCCCAGAGACGCAGCGACCTAAACACGATATTCTCTAGTTAATGCCTCGGGTAAACCGTTCAGCAGTACAACTGCTGGCCACAGCGATGCGTTGACTGAATGATCAAAAGTTTGATTGTAGGCATTTACGGCGGGAGGCACCAACTATTTACAGTCCAATAGCACATTTACTGGCTTAATCACTGCCGAAATGAGTTAAATCCCGCCTGACAACTGACCGTCTGCATGTAGAAGCAATGCGGCACAGCATAGCTGCAGGCGTTGACCAGTAGTGACATCTATGAGCAGTAGCGGAAGTTATCTTGAAAAGGTGAAACAACTATCCGATGATCATGTTGGAATGGAAGCGGTTCTATAAATTCCAACATACCGATGCATGGCTACTGAAAATGTGCTTCCTTGAGTTGTTTTCTGGAAGCCCAGAGCACAACAATTCAGCTATAAGTCGCATGCATCATTTGGTCAGGACTCTGGTGCTGGAATGCTACTTTTTGCAGCGATACATCAGCAGGCATGGTTTATATGTCACCACGCTACATATCAACGGTCTAAAAAATCACAGCACGACTGAAACCAATGGTTTGGAGGAGTGCAACCTGAAGAGGGTTTCATCCGCCGGACGGTCACTTCCGCGGGAGAAGACGAGCCTCGTCGGCGTCGGAGCATGCGACTCCTTTCGTGGACTCTGTCACCCGGCGCGGTGGTGGCGGTGGTCTCAGCTGGGCGTCGGTCGGTTAGCAACAAACCAGCCGGGACCAGCCGGGACTGGAGCGGGTCGGAGCGGGCCAGACAGGCAACAGGACAGTCGGACTGCCGGACAGACAGCTGGCAGACAGCCAACAGCGTCCGATCCTGCCACAGGTGCTCGGCCCCGGACAGACGATCGCACCACCCGGGACAGACGATCGCACCGCCCGGGACAGGTCAGTGCAGTCAGCGGCCCTGGGCGATGGACGATGGGAGTCGAAAGCCACTAAACATGGGAGCAAATAAAATCCACCAACAATGCTTCCACACGTTTGTGCTTCAGAAGCCTCACATATCGGACATCAAGGCTCGACGTGATACTTTGATCCAATCATCCGGCTTCACACAAGAATGTAGGTTTTGATATCCATTGTAATGGACATTGAATATGATCCATTGTTTTTCAACTACGAGTAATGTGGAAATGCTATAGTTCATGCAAAGAAATTTAAAATATTTAAATTTAAAATTTTTAGATTTGGGAATCACAGTAATTTAGCTCGCAGCTTTGAGGTTTTGGATGTCTTGCCTACCATCTACCCGAAATGACGTTAATGACAGCACGATATCAGTCAGATTTCAAAGGCGGCTGTGAATGCCACGAGAACGCACCAAGACGGCCCAAAATGCAGGAATTCAGCACATGAATGCAGTGTTCTGTCCAAATGTTATGTGCCCTTGGATCCCGGTGGTTTCTCGTCTAATTTGAGAAGTGACGAATTGGCAACGCACAGCTAACGCAAGATGCCAGCGGCTCATACGTTCCATGGCATTAACCCTGGCACTAGCCAGCTGCGCTTTTTGTATTATTTTGACAGTTGCAAAGCTCGGTCTGACCTCACATCAAAGCTATCCGGGTTGCCTGTCGTTGGATGGTGGTCCGGTCAGGTGTCGTACTGTTGCTGTGCCGCCCGTTTGACCCGCGGTTACTGTGAGCTCCCGACCGCCCCCTGTGCGACCAGAGCTGCCACGCGAGTCACCGGATCGGGTACCTACACACGTCATAGCCTGCTGCTGTGGCCGAACATTGGGTCACCT